ATTGCCACGCAGTAATGGTGGTTTGAGTTTGCACGGCAACATTTGACAGTGGACTTAACTCCTTTTTTCCCTTTTTGGTCCACTTTTCAATGACTTTTAAAAAGCACTTGACCATCAGTACAAGAAAAGCTTGAATTTTCTACGGTTTAAGAACATTACGAGTTCCTATACGTTCGGCGCAAATCACCTATTAAGCTAAGCTTTTCAAAAACCTGTTTTGCTCTTGTTCGTCTTTTCTGATCTGTTTGTTTTTTCTTGCGTTTGTTTTTTTGTCTGTTTATGGATGCCCTATTACTCTTCTCCATGTCCAGTGACGCGTGTAAACATAATTTACCAGTTGAGTAAATATGTTAGTTTCACCATCACAGCAACAAAGCCGTGCAAACTATATGTAATTTATTCGTCCTCCATTTGAGAATCTGACTTATAGAGATTAATAATAATTAATTACCAAAGAAAACGGATACAGGTTCAAATTGTTGGCGCCGTATTTGTATGCAGTTTTTATTGGGAGTGAGCCGTGCGTAATAATTACCGCGCTATTGAGTTTATTTATCAGTTTTCGTAAAATGTTGCAATCTGCAGTTAACGCAATTTTTAACCCATCGAGCGCTGTTTAGCCTCTCTATGAACCTGGCTGCAGCTGACTGCAAAACATAAAAGTGAGCAATTTCAGTCTTTGCAATTCACGCAATTTCAAACTGAAGAATTGTCACCGCCGATCATAAGTTTTTCTAGTATTAGCCGCTTTTTCAATTAGCAAAAACACCAATTGTGTTCAAATACCCGGTTTTATTTTTTATTTTTTTTCGTTTGCAGGACAGCTAGAAAATTAAAAGGCCACTTAATTGGCATCAACGGCTAATGAGTCTGCCAAAACAAGGAATATTAAATAATCTATTATCTAAAAATGGTTTGGGAAAACAACGAGACTGGCGCCTGTGTTTTCTTTTTTAAAAAATGCACTTTATTTGAATGTCGATGTATTTTGCACGAAAATACCAATTGAGGGCACTGTTTTTTCGTCCCCAACTGGAGACGGGGCCGCCATTTTACGTATGGTTTTACGTATCAGAGCAACGCAAAGGTCTACCTGAGTGCAGGGCAAAGGTTGTACCTTCATTTTTCAGTTATTTTAAGACCGTCCCTGAGTACTTGTCCGGGCCCAGGAATCGAACCCGCGATCTCCCGCTCGGAAGTCAAGCCGGCTCTAGCAAGTGTAATTGACACAGATTCGGTTCTATTGTTAAAATGTTTTGTTCACACAGAAAGTCCTCAAAGTGTCTCTCGCCTTTAGCAGAGCTCAACAAAAGCTCTATCATGGGCTTTGATTTTAGGCGACATGATATTTAAGGTATACTGTTCTCTTATTGATTTTAGTTCACCATCGAAATCTATATTTTTTGTTACCCTTTTCACCTTTAATACGTTTTAATAATTCCACAATTGACTTCAATAATGACCACTTTTAATGAGTAGAGTACATTTAGACAGCTAAGTAACCAGCGAGAACAAAAGTATTAACAACTACGGCCGACAGAATGGTCTACTAACTACCCCCCCCCCCCCCCGGGGCGAGGTACCCTTATTTACTCCCTTACAAGTTGGTGCCGCGGGGCTTGGGAATTGTTTTGGGAGATTTTTCTTAATATTGCTGTATAGATTTTTTTTAATTTGTTAAAAGGGGTAGTACCCGGTGATTGGTTGTATCTTTTATGCTATTTTTTATTGTTTTTCTATGTATTATTCATATA